AAAGAAGCTACATACCATGCTGGGCACATATACACAACAGGACAAGCCAAACCAAGGCGGATCTCCAGCAAAAGGCAGGCTAGGAACGGGATAAGCAAGACAATTTATCATTACCAGGGAGGAAGGGTGGGAGGCAGGGATAGATTGGGAGTTTGGGATTTACACGTACACACTGCTATATTTAAAATAGACAATCAATAAGGACCTGCTGTATAGCATAGGGAACTCTGCTCAATTCTCTGTAATAACCTAAATGGGAAAAGAATTTGAAAAAGAATAGATACTTGTATAACTGAATCACTCTGCTGTATACCTGAAACTAACACATTGTTAATCAACTATACTTCAATTTAAAAAACTACAAACAAGAAAAGCTAAAAATTAAAAAAAAAAGGTTTAGTCAGTGATAGAAAATGATTGTAGTTGAAATTTCTGAAGAAACTTGCATGAATTATATCCAAAGGATTGCATTCTTTTAAATGCTGTTCCTTAGTGCATTCCTACGTTTACCACTCCCATATAGTGACTGATTTCCTCATTTATTTTGCTGAAAAGTCAGTTTTACCTATATTCTCTGGCATCCATGTAGAAGCCTGACAATGAGCAGTTCTCAACTGTGACTGTCATTAGAATCACCTACAGAGCTCCGTCAACATGCTAGTGTCCAACCCCCTTCCCAAGGACTCTCATTCAGCTGGCTGGGGCGGTGGAGGAGGGAAGGGAGGAGCTAGACATCATGCTTTCTAAGAGCTCCCAGATGATTCCAGCATATATCCAGGAATGAGAACCAGCTGGTTTCTGGCCCAGAATCCAAAGCACTCTGTGGTAGCTACAGGAATGTACACGAAGCACCAAGAAGAAATTGGCGGCCTAAAACTTATGATGTAAATTCAACGTCTCACTTAAGTTTTCCACACACCAGTCATTTCTGTACTTCTGTCATCATTTCACCATATCCACATACCTCCTACAGTTATTTCCTTGATATCATTTTAAATCAACTCCATCTCTTAAATTTGTTTTTAAAAGAAACTCATAGACTGGGGATAATAGCAAAGTGACATAAAAAGGCAGGAGCAAGAGGAAACAATACGTGACTCTTGAGTGGAAAAAACACTCAGAAATGAGGGAAGGGCTTCCCTGGTAGCTTTGCTGGTAAAGAATCCGCCTGCAATGTGGGAGACCTGGGTTTGATCCCTTGGTCAGGAAGATTCCCTGGAGAGCATGGCAACCCACTCCAATGTTCTTGCCTGGAGAATTCCCATGAACAGAGAAGCCTGGCAGGCTATAGTCCATGGGGCCACAAAGAATTGCACACGACTAAGCACAGAAGGGCGGGTCCAGGGCAGGAGACCCAGGATCCATGGGGTCAAGTTGGTCCAGGCACAGCAGTGAGAAGGGATGAAGTCTTGGCTATGATTAGAGAATAATAGAGAATGCCACAGAATAGGGTTACAGATGGCCTGGGGTTGTGCCTTTAAAGGAGCTCTAGGGGCAGAGAGAGAAGACTGAGGGACCACAGGGGCTAGAGGAGGCAGATATCTGGGGCAGAGTGTGAGGCCAAGGGAAAGCTGGTGGGAAGTTAAAAGGGAGACTAGGGGCAGGAATGAGGGGAGATCTGAGGGGTGGGTGGAGCTAAGGTAGGCCTCACTGGAAAGGGTCAGAGCAGGGGCTGGATAGCACAGCAGAAGCAGACCACGGGCCAAACAGGGTATCCTCCAGACGCTGCCAAGCAGTGACCAGCAAGAAAGCGTGCAGGGACACCTGTAAACTGCCTGAAACCATTCCATGAACTACCAGAAGTGGTCATTCCTGCACACTGAGAAACACTGCCCAATGCTCTACAAATAAAGAGCATCTGCCTTTTCACTCTCCCCCTTTTATGACCAAAAAAAATTTTTTAATTAAATGTTAGCAAAGAAATATAAACCCCCATCTCACTTGTCAGGTCCCCATGGATACACTAAAACTCAACAACAAAATGCAACGTTACTTCTCTTCTCTTATACACACACTCGTGTTTTAGATCTGTATGAACACCCTTCTTTTGATGGACAGATCCCACCATACGAACCATCTCCTTAGTCACCATCTTAAAGCACAGAACATGATCAACAGAGTTGACAAATGCCCAGTAACAAACACTGTAAAAACAGCGTCTGATATTAATGAAAGAAATCATCAAAATAATCATGTCTGAGCAACCTGGCAGTTCATTATCTTATGACATAGAGTCAAGTCCTAGAAAACAATCACTTTTATGTTCTTAAATCCTTACCCTTAATGAACAATGATGAGGGAGATAAAGATTCATTTGCAATCACCAAGTATATGCACTGCCATTTCTTCGTAAAGTTTATTTCCGCTCCATGATGTGTTTCAGTATTTTTCTCCCTTTTCCTAGGTGTGTCAAATCACAGATTCACTTATCCCCCAGTCACAGCCAAGAGAATGACTCAGGCTGGCACACAGCTTGTCGATTTATTTCATTTTCCTGGGCTAAACTTATCATTTCCCATTTCTTCTTATTGCTAACTTATTCCCTCTTCACTTTCTTGAGGTCTGTTACTTTCAGAATGATATGAGGCATGACAATGATAAGGGTGAAACAACATAAAATCCTAAAAAAAAAAATGATGAAGGGAGAAAAATTCAGTTACACTAAAGGCAGATCCCAGGGAATTTTGTTCACTGCCCAGAAGGACAGGTTTATCATTCATCCATTCATTCAACAAATATTTATTGAGCATTTCCCATGAGCCAGCTCAGCCTAGAACACCATATTAAAGCATGCTGCAGTCTACACAAAGTTAGCTAATGTTAGTTACAAGAGGAAAGTTGCTACATCTTAAAATTCTGCTTGAACATGGCTGCAGGCATCACACATGTACATGTATAATACTGTGATACTCATTAACCAGAACTGGGCAACGTAATCAACACCCACTGCCCCCAAAACCTGGAAATAAGTTGCCCTACACAGTCAGAAGCTGCTAAAGACTCACATTAAAGAAAACCCTAGAGATACTATTTATGAAAGACCATAAACTTTCCAAATATAGCCATACATGGTGATGAAACATGCATGGAAGAACACATCTGGCAAACAATGTTTTGGGGAGAGGTTAATTAGTTAACTCATAAATTCACTAACCTGACATTTCTAACAATGCCTGACACTTTTACATGCACTAACACAATAAGTTTCCCCAAAATTCTATAATATAGATATTATTATTAACATTTACCATTTTTCAAATTAGTAAACCAAGGGTCAGTTTGAGGGTAAATCATTTAATCAAGGGCACTTAGAAAGTAATGAAGCCAAAACTTGAACCCAAGTTTGCAACTCATGGATTCAAGCACTTTCTAAACAATAAAACCAATTATTATTAATATAGCTTGTATATTAACATCTAACTTTCTATAATTAGCACCATGTTAGTTTGAATCTTGTTTTAATTTACAAAAGTATAAATTATCTCTAAGGCTCTAACAACTCTTAATTGGACTTTTCTCAACTCCTGGTTATTTAGATACCACATGTTCCTGTCTTTCCTAAGACATCTGTAAGACAGTGAGAATCAACAGCATTGGTAAAGAAAACTAACATTTAAGGGGCACTTTTCTTCATGCCAGGCACTGGAATAAGTATTTCACTTGCAGTTTTTCCCTACAGCAACCCTCTGTGTTGGTGGTACTGTCGTCATTATCATTTTCTTTTACAATGAAGGAGGCACAGAAAGGTTAAGTAACTTGCCTAAGGTCACACAGGTAAGGAGGATTCACACCTGTGGCCTCTCCTTCCCCTGGTCTATGATCTTCATCAGTAACAAGTTCTGGCTCTCTTCCTAACATTCTCATCTCATTTCAAGTCTGGGCTCCCACTGGCCTGTTCTCAGTGCTAGTGAGAGACTGCTTTTCAGATGTGCTGGTTTGGCTTCCTCCATCTTTGATTTCTCCCCGATAACAGCCCTGGTTCACCTGCTGTGTGCAGCTCTCTGCTTCCATCTGGTACTGACCTCCTGGCACACCTAAGACAATCCCCAGTACAGACGACCACACCTTGGGCTGGGCAGCAGAGCCTCCCCCAGGTCACTTTTTCCATCAGGGTTTTCATCTCAATCTTGCCAAAATCTCTTAAAGGAGCCAACACTTTTAAAAATAACACTCAACATTGTTTAAAAAAAAAAAATCAATTACTCAACCAAGTTAACAGTGGCTTTTCCTTACAACAGAATGTCTGGATTTGCATCACATTACCAGGAGACTTAAATCACATGAATATTTGATGGTAAAATGTATTAAGGTCAGATTAACCTGAGGAATAAAACGGACTTTCCCTTCTATTTCCACTAACTGCAAATTCTGTATGACTCACCGATAACCCACAAAGGCAGCTGTCCTCCAGACAGGTGCCATAGCTCCACAATGCTGGGGGGCCTTGTAAGGAGGAAATGGACACTTACAAAGCACCTACTATGCACCAGACATTGTCATGTGTTTTATAGGTATGAATGAACTAAGAATTCCACAACAACCCCAGCAGATAGGTCTCACCACGCCCATTTTACAGATGGGAAAACAAGCTTGTAAAGGTCTCATAAATCAGCCTAAGGTCACAGAGCTGGTGGTGGCAGAGCTGAGATGTGAGCCTGCATCTCTTTGCTCCCAGCTTCTTGCTCATGGACTATTCTTCTTGCTGCACTGCTCAGGGTTCCATCTAGAGTCCTGCAAGATGGAGCGTGCCTTTGACTACAGTACTGAGTTTGCTGATCAACCCAACAAGAAATGAGGTCCTGATATACACATGCTTCCCAAATGGCCCTGGGCTCCTGATTCCCAGCTGGGTCACAAATGTCCCCAGAAAAACAGCTGCTTTTTTTTTTTTAACTTTCTATGGGCTGGCTACTCATCTGTTTCATTCCCTCTTGTCTCTCCTTGCTCTCTGCTCTCTTCTCTACTGTGTCTTCCTGTGTGTGTGTGTGTTCCTGTAATACCTCGATCCAGCAGCCGGAGCAAGCGGAGATACCAAAGATACCACTGTTCCCAGAAGCGGTCCGTCATCCCCCCCTGAACTCATCCTTCACAGCCAGTCCCTTCAGCAGAGCCTCGTCCCACCACCGCCAACTTGAGGAGGCCGGAATTTCTTGACGCTGGGCTTGCGCGCAGCCTGCTCGAAGCAAATGCCTGCCTGCGAAGACAGCCACCAGTCCTCCCACACAGAGGCTGACTGTGCCGGGAGCCTGTTTCACAGCAACAAAGGAACAAGTGCGGAACACTGCCGCCTTGTGCAGACCGAGCCTGCAGGGGCCCAAAGGGAGGTCAAGAGACGCAGGGGAGGGCACCAGGGAGCACCCTCACAAAGAAAGGAGCAGAGAAGTGGTCTTGGGAATGAAACTGAACAGTCAAGGTCATATCTTAGATGTCATTCCAGGATCTCCTGTCATCCTGGCTTCCCCTGCCTCCCATGCCAAAGGCCAATGGCTCTCCTAACAGGAGACAGGGATAGGAAGCCAGGAACTCAGCCATCCTGGACTCTGAGGCCAGCCTACAAGAGCCAGAGCCTCACTGCCTTATTCTGTGGAAACCACAGGCACCCCAGGCCCAAGGCTGCTGGACCCATGTGGCCAGAAAAAGGCCACAGCCTCCATCTCCCTTTGTGGATCCTCTTTTAGAGTAGAGATAGCATGGACTGCAGAGTCACATGGATATGGGTTCAAATCCTGCTACCACTTAACAGTTGCCTGGCCTAGATCACTTTACTCCAACCCAGCTTCCTCCTCTGGAAACTAGAGAGAACAGTACTCGCTTCACTGAGCTGTTGTGACGTTCCCAAGAAAGGAAGGATCTAAAATTCTGGGCCAGCACGTGGTGAATGGTGGTGCTCAAGGGCTCATTCCCCCTTCTACTCCAACCCCTCTTCCTCTAGCCAGATCCTCAGCTCCCACAGCCCTTACATCCCACGCTTTCCCACCTCTGTGCACTGGCTCCTGGTCTTCCTGTCCAGAGCACGGCCATCCTATGGCCAAGTATTCACTGCAGCCAAGTCTTCCTGGTTTTACCAACACGTAGCTCGAATGCCACAGAGTCAGGCAGCCCTCCCTGACCCTCCTTCCCATCTCCACTGCATTTCACTTCCTCCTTTGTACAAGACTCTGCTTCCTGGCTCAACCACAAATTCCATGAAGACAGGATCTGCTCTGTGATCATCACTGAGCCTTGAAGAGTCTTGAACTTTGCAAGTGCCTAAGTATTTACTAACTGAATGAGTGAAGAGGCAAATATCTGTGCACCCCACGTGGTTTCGTTTTTTAAGTTAGGAAAAGGAATGGACTACAAGGGCCTCAGTCCCTGGGCACCACCTAAAGCCTGTGGAAGAATGACAGGGCACCCTGGCCTTGCATCGCTAAGAACCCATTTTACAGGAGGCTGGCTGCTGGCCCAGTGAGGCTGTGCTCCCAGGTGACCAGAAGTCCTGTCTGCCTAAGTGAAATCAAGAGGACCCAGGTCCGGAACAGCTTTGGACTCCAAGCCTAAAACCCACCCAGCAGCCATGTGCACGTTCATCACTGCTTCCACCCAGCCCAGGCTGTGCCAGCAGTGTCTTCTCACTGTTCCAGTAGAAATGCTGGCCTCCCAGGCCTCCTGGTCTCCATCTGGGAGCCAGCAGGGGCAGGCCTCCTCAGCGTCAGCTCTTCCTGGAAGCTCAGGCTTCCAAGATGACACAGGCTGCAGATTTTGACAGAATTCAGACTGAGGAGGAGTCCTGTCCTAGGGCATGAGCTAGGAGGGACAGGGAGAAGGCGAGCAGAGCCACAGTCTCCTCCAGCCTGGCCCTGCCCCTGCTCCACCACGACATCGTGGTTCCTTCATGAAGAGCAGCACTGGGACGGAGCATACACCGCCTCCCAGAAGCTACCTCGCTGGCTCTCCTAGAGTTATTTTACTATTACCTTAAATGGACAAGACTCCAGTCTGTAGTTAACACAAGAATGCACACCCCTCCTCCTCTCTCTCCAGAGAGAAGTGCACTGACCCTTAGCCTCCCCCTCCTTCATGAATAACAGGCTCCATCATTCAGGTGCGGCCAGTACTTTTCAAGCTCACAAAGAACTTTCACATCCATCTTCTCCCTCGGGCCTCTGAGCCACCCTGTGAGGTCTGTAGGATGGGACTCACTTTCCCCAGTCTAACTAAGGGAAAACCCACGTGCCAAGAGGTTAAATAACTGACTTACGGTCAAATACCTAGTCGGTGGCTGGGCTGAAGAAGTGTGTGCCATCTGTCTCTCCCAAAGTGTTTCTGTGGCTCTGGATTGTTCTCTGGGGAAGTGTGATGTCTTCCATAGAGAGGTGGAAGCCCTCACAGTAGGGCAGGACCCGAGGGCAGTGCTGACAGGCCACAAGCACAGGCTCAGCAGAGGGCCTGCGTGTGGCCTCTTACTGAGTGACAGCCTTTCATCTTTTTCTTTGGCTTCTGGCTGCTGAGGAAGAGCAGCCTCCAAATAGGAATGCCAAAAATGGCTCTGTCTAACCCTACTGGGAAGAGATCTGAGATGGGAGGCATGCACATGTGGCTCCCACCAGGGTCTGAGGAGATCCAGACAGAGATAGGCTTTGAAAAGAGCACCTGTCTATGAGACAGAAAGTCCCAGTAACTGTGTGGGCACTGTGTGAACTAGAATACTCTGATGGGGCTAATGCTACTCTTCCATGTACCATTCTTGGGCCTGGAGAAGGCAGCTGGCCCTGTTCCCCTCCTTCCAGTAATCAAGTGCCAAACATTCCACACAGCTTCGTTTTCAAAGACAGAAAGGGAATAAAGATGTTAACAACATGAGTGCAAGCGCTGCCCCCACAAACTGTAAACATAAGAACATAAGCGTCACCTGTGGGGTCAGGCCCAGGATGAACCCATTCAGCCAGCAGTTTCACTAAAGATTGGCTTCAGCCCATCATGCTGGGCTCCCGGGAGCTCCTCGGTCCACCACTACTCATTTCTCCAACTCCCACAGAGCCTGATAAGCCTGCTTTCAATGCAGCCCCTCCAGAAGATGAATACAATGTTCCAAGAGACTGTCAGAGTTGCCATTTAGCTGCAGTGCAATTCAAACAGTCGGGATATTGGCCAGGAAGGGGCCTTATTAGGTTTTGTTGTTGTTGTCGCTTTGTCTTAAACAATACTCCTGCAGCGGCTCCTTCTTTCATCATGGTCAGAGCAAGCACGGTCATTCCCGTTGGCATGGTTCCTGCAACCCACCTGACTGGTGCTACGGGGACCCATTCTCAGAAGCAAGGAGCATCTCCAGGCCAGCAACAACCCATCCATCCCAGAGGGCTGATGCCTGTCTGGATGATCACCAGAACATGGATGTGTTCCCTTCTCTTCCCTGTTCCTTCTTCCTACGTGGCACTGTTCTTTCTCCCGCTCTCCGCCCGCCCCAACATGGAAACACCGTGTTCCCAATCAGATAAAGCCAGCACAAGTGTATGGAGCAGAAGGCAAGCAGCAAGGAGGGAGGGAAGAAGCAGTCATGTCCCAAAGCTTTCCCACTCATCTCCTGGGACGATGACCACTGTTCCCACAGTGGCACTGCTGGCTTGTCGGACACATGGGGCTAGCTCACCAGAGAAGGTGGTAGTGTTGCTAGTCTGCGTAGCAGAGCGAAGACTCTCTCTGCCCGAGGAAGTAGGCTCCACCAGGCTGCCATTCTGCCCTGCAAGCTGTGCTTCAGCCGCAACATGTATCACACACTCCAGCAGACACCATCCTCAGCCACCTCCCACACCACTTCTGTCCCCTTGGCGATGAGCACCCAAGTGGAGAAGTGAAGTCCTATGACAACACATTCTCAGCGATGCCATCCATGGATGGGATGGACACCGGCCCATCTCTCCTGTGAGAGCCAGGTGTCCCCAAGTGAACAGGTTTCCTAGGTCCACACCTGAGGCCAGCACCTAAGACACGTTATCACTTGTCACACTGAAATTCAAGCCCACTTCTCCCAAGAGGCCTTTTCCAGCTAACCTCTTTCATTCTCTATCTCTGAGGTTCTCAAAGTTTAATGGGCAGCAGAATCACCTTAGAGGGTTAGTTATCTAGGCAGGTAACTCGGCCTCACTCCCCAAGGCCTGCATTTTTAAACAGCTCCCCAGATGAGTCTGAAACAGGGATCTTTCTGCTTCCATCCCTGCTCTCCTCTCTTACTTCACTGAGCTATTCCAGTTGAATTCTAGAGTGTACTCTCCCCACACACCCTCGGAGTGCAGAGTTAGAAGAATCTCCTGGAAGGTAAGGGGCCTTCAAGTCCCAGTAGAGGGTCCCAGACTGCAGGGCTGAGGAGCTGCCAGCCAGGAGGCTGAGACTCAGGCTCCTCTCTCCACAGGCTCCAGAGAGCATTCATCTGTACAGTAGCTTTAAATGTCACCTCAAATATCAGGCCGGGTGGCAGGAGTGAAAGGCGGAAGCTCATTAGCCTGCCTTGCCCTGCTTTTGTGTGGCTTCCATCCGTGTTCACCTCCGACCTCCTCTGGGATCATTAACGCTCCCTCAACTGGGGGAGCCTCAGCTCCTGGAGACCACACTGGGCTCTACACCAAATCACTAAGTCAGGGAAATGCAGTCAGTCCCTCCTGACGCCTCCCCAGAGCACTTATTCCTCCCCCACCAATCACCAGAACCCCATGTGGCCCTGACTCTCCTTCCACAGCATGCCATCCCAACACTGCCACCCCGGCCCCAAAACCAAGCCATGCCCTCATGCCTTTTCAAAGCTCTCCCATCCTGGGCCTGTGAAAAGTATTAAGATAAATAATCTCAACCCCTCTAAGTCTGAACAAGGAGAGCTTAGTATTCAGACCCTCAGGGAATATTTACATTTTGGCAAAAGATAATGCCTTAGGTCAAAGGAAAGAAAACAAAGAACAAAAACAAACCAAGCTTATAAATAGAACAGATTGATGGTTTGCCAGAGGTGGGCAGTGGAGAGTGGGTAAAGTGGGTCAAAATGTACAAACATACAGTTATAGTAAATAAACAAGTCATGGGGATGCAGTGTACAGCATGATGAGACTATAGTTAATAACACTGTACTGTATATGTGAGAGTAGCTAAGAGAGTAGATCTTAAAATTTCTCATCTAAGGAAAAAAATCTGTAACTATGGGTGGTGATAGATACTAACTAGAATTACTGTGGTGACCATTTCACAGCATATAC